TAGTACTCCTAGTATTGACTGAGATCATTACTAGGAGAATCCACATGAAAAAAACTGTCTCAAAGTTCATTGTCTCCTCTTTCAGCACATGATTTCAAAAATTGTCATTGGTTTATAATATAAACCAATGACAATTTTTGAAATGATGAGCGTGATGTTGGTCAGTAGAAAGGACTTTCAGCCATACAAATAATAAAGTGGGTTAGTAAATCTAATCACTGTCAAATACTGAAGAGGAAAAACATTTGTCAATTTTTGTTTGAGAGTTCGTACAAAAACTGTATTTCTCCCATAGAGTTGTATTGACAACTGCCCATCATCACATTCTAAAACGTGAACGCAACCTATTCAGAGAAACTGACGGCTGATGAGCTGTGCAGACATTTTCAAGTCGATTATATCTGTTTAATTTTGAGATTTGTCACTAAATTACATAATTTGTGTCTAAATGCATCAGTAACAGCTTAAATATATTTGATACAACACATAAATTCAGCCATTATGTATGTTATAATGTTGCAGGAATTATTTGACGGTACAAATATATATTGTTTGTTCAATTAATGTTTAGAAAAAGTGAGCACACTGTGTGGAATTTCTCACATTTCTGCCTAAATTAGTTTGACAGTAACATTAGACAATATTTGAAGAAAGAAAAGAACTTCCACAAGGAGACGGCGACATGAGGTGCCAAACACATACGCACATACTTTCCCTTTTGACGAGCTGCCATTTAGTGAGTACTAAAGAGCAAAATAAGACAGGACAATGACCCCTGCCTCTGATTGTAGTTTCACGTGCGTTTCAGATAGCACAGTTTTGTGTTAAATATCCTGTGGTATCACTTACGGAGCGCGCATCATCTCCTTTACCTACTATTAGAAGTACCAGACGCTGATATTTTATTGTCACAAACTCATGTTTTTGTCTTAAAGCATAGCGATAGCGGGTTAGCTCAAGCTTCATCATTGTTTTGTTTAGTTACACTGCAGTCTGGAAAGAGGAGAGCCGACATGCGCAGAGGGATACAGCCGAGCATTTCATCCAGAGCGGTTTTGTAGCCACGAATTACATTTAAAACTCGGTTTAGAGCGGCGCTATACTGTGGAGTTTTCACCAGATTATCTACTGTAAGAAAGTCTGAAATCTACGTTTGATCGGCCCCTCTGATCGGCGCATTTCACCAATCACCGATCACAAAAATTAGGCCGTGATCGACCAATCATGATTGGTGACAGATCAGATCGGTGCACCTTTAACTCATACCATACAGGTCCAGCTGCTTTAGCCAGCTCATGTTCATTCATGTCCAACTGAAGTTTTCCAGTGACCATTCCATCCAGAGGGCTGGGGGAATGTCATATGGTCAGATGTTTGTGAAGGCTCTCATTCATCCAGGGAGTGTCCATCTTATAAAAAGGTTAAATCATCGCCAGGACTGGGTTTTGGTAAAGTTGAGTGATATTGAAAACAATTTGAATAGACATTTTTGGCAGTTTTGGTTCTCTCCTTCTGGAAGGAACCTGGGTCTTTTTAGTTTTTAGTCCAGTTTGGGTAAGTGTTCTTTTATGACTTTAAGAGCTCTGAAGAAGCTTGTGTCACTAAAAGCGAAACATCCTCAACTTTACCAAAACCCAGTCCAGTAGATGATTTAACCTTTTCTACATGATTGTAGATTATTCTATGGTCAAATGAGACCAAAATGTTTTTTAAATAATCTGCATATGCTGACTTTTAGCATATGCAGAGGATGAAGAGGATTTGGTGATACTACTACTCTTAATGATAGACATATCAGCATAAGGTACGGTACTTTTTTTATACCCTGAAAAAGAAAAGATTGGAAATTTTACCTGTAGATCTGAAATCAAGTCTCCTGGCTTCTCCCCCATGTATTCAATTAGGCCTCGGATTACGACTTCCCTCCTCTTTTCTATAGCAGCGGTTGGATCCTACGAAACAACATAGAAATAAAAAACACCACGAATTAGGAAGTATTCAGCACTTCTTATCTTGAATATGTTTTCATATTTCTGATTGTGTTCATTTAGATATAAAAACGTATATAATGACAAATGATGGAAAATCTCCTCTCTTGTTGCCAAGGACTCACCGCAAATCTTGCAGGGCACACTCATTTATGCTCTAAATTACAGAAACAAAATCAGTGTGGCCCATACCAAACAGTATCACATGCAAGTATTGTAATGTATTGTAAATACAAGGGATGCAAGAAGACCGAAGATAATTTGTTTGAAGTGTATCAAGCGAATAAAAATATCTAAGATCGCTTGACAGCCCTTATTCATATTCAAAATATTATTTAACAATGAGCATTACAGTAAAAAAAACTCCAGACCCAAAAACGTTTACACCATTGAGTCACTTTAAAGCAGTTAAGATAAAATGTTTTACATTACAAAAAGCAGAAACAAGTCTGGAGCAGGATCCAACCAATGTATAATGCCCCCCCCCCCCAAAAAACTATTGCATCCCTAGCGAGTACATTACATTCACTTAATTTAACTCATTGACTGCCATTGACGTGTTAACACGTCAAACTAAATAGTAACGTTGTCTGCCAATGACGTGTTAACACGTCAATTGCGTTTCCCGCTATTTTTACGTTCCCAGCTGTCCATTGAATCTAATATGTGGAGATTGGCTTGAGGCAATACTTTATGGAGCCAGCAGATGGCAGCATTGCGCTATGAATGGTTTGAACACAGCTAGATGCACTGTTTGTGGCCCTTTTTTCTCAGCTTTCTGGTGATTTCAATAAAACTTCCCTCTACTCAACTGGGGATTACAGAAGAACTAAACAAGATAGAAACAAAATTCTTTTTGCTGGTGAGAGTAGACAGCCCATTCTTTCAGAATCTAGTTTTAGATTTCAGATAGTCAAAGTACACAATATTCTGTGGGTCTTGAAAAATCAGTAAAAACCACCAGAAACGGCTGGCAATATGGGAGTACCTGTTTTGAAATGGGCTGGCAGTCAATTAACAGTTCTTTTTGTATCACACTTACCTCCTGCTGTAGCTTTCCTCCATCAATTGGCAGCAGTGAAAGGAAAAATCTAAAATAAAATAAAATAAAATTAATAAACATGCTTAAAAATACTCTTCATTGGACAAATATCATAAGCATTTAAACAGGCGGTGCTGCTTTTTACATATAAAAAATGCATTAGATTAGTACAAACAAAGTGCTTTGTGCATTTTGCGTTACTACACGTGATTCCACAAAAAACATGCTATACCACAACATGTACCTGTCTTTAGCTGAATGTATTACCTTGTCAGGACTTGACATTAAGTGCTTTGAGGTACTTGAAGTGGCAGGTATTTTTTACTTGCCCGGAAACAAAACCTACTTGTCCAGCAAAATATCGTTTATTTCAAAATTAACATGCCAAAATGTTGTTCATATGAAATGCGAATGTAAGTCACATTAGATTTTTAACATTTCCACTCTAATTTTGTGACTGCAATAGGCTATAGCAGTCACCCTCAGTATGTTCCTTTAAAAAATGCATGTTTATAATGTATCACTTATACTTTGTTTGGGTTTTTTAAATGTGCTGCAGATTTCTGAATGTATTTGAACTTATCATAACTAACCATATAGGTGCACATTGGCTAAAACAGACAGGCCTTGATATAATACAGTGATGCTGATGCGGACGGGTCATAACATTAACAACATGCAGTAGCTGTTAACTTAACGTTAGTTTTCTGCTGAAACAAGCTACTTTCTGACCGCGAGGAAATCAGAGCGATCTCAGATAGCAATAAACATGTTTTCTGCCTCCGCACCATGCTCTGCACCTGTCTCCTCCTTGAGAGTCGCTCCGCTGAGCTAATGTAACTAGGGACTTCTGCGGGGAAATGAACTGTCCCCAAGAGTAGAAAATAATAGAAGATTAATAAATGTCACGTGGCTTCTGTTGCCAACTGTATTTTCCACTTGCACCTCCGGCAACAAGACAGAGCAGGACAGTAGCGACTTTGGTCTACTTATGTTAGCTGCGTACCGTTAGCAACAGCTAGCTAGAAGCTAGCAGCTCCAAACTGCGAAAACTACGTCTGTTATTATGGTTCAGAACATTTAAGGGGTAGTTGGTAATGTTACGAGTCTTAACACAAATCACTTTGCTAAACAACGAAATTGTAGGACCATTATACTGGCACAGTTTTATGCTAACAACATGTTTGGGGCTAGAGTAGACAGTTAACATGAAGTAATTTTGGACACGAACTGCCAAGAAAATAAAACGACGATTTGACCACAGATTGTATATATTTGATCAAATACGCGACAAACCTTACAGAGAAAGCACCATATATTTAAAAAATCTTACTTTGAGTTGGATCTCACGGGAAACCACACGACCGTGTCCAAGGCTGGCTCAGCGCCCATCACCAACAACAAGCTCGCGGAAACGGTCCGAACCGGAAGCAAACTCCCGCCCAGTAGAAATTACTTTGTCTGAACACTTATTGATAGCGTCAGATTTAAGAAGCACTGCACTGCCAACAATATTTTTTCAAAATTTAGTTAAATACACACACAAAACGTATTTGTGGGTATATTGTTTTTGTTTTTAGTAAATGGAAATTATTTTTCTAATATTAAAACCATAAGAATAAATTTTAAGTCCGAAATTGCAAATACAAGTACTTAGGTTCAAAGTTGCGCTTGCGACACTTTTCTCAGTGTGCAGTAGTTTTAATGTCTGCGGGTTATTCCAGAGACTCGCCAATGTAACCCTGCTCACAAGTGCCACCTGGTGGTTGTTTTGGTCATTGCAACGTCACTGGGAGGGGGGAAAATAAAAGACGCGTGAATCACACGTGAGTCTCGTGTGATTCACGCGTGAAAGGTGACAAAACGGAATGGGACCTACTGTACATGTTTGTTTTCAGACCCAGGCCCTCGCTGCCAGGACTGTCAGCAGTGATGCTAAAGCCAGGAGTGAGCTGTCCAGAAAACAACTGATGTTTGGGAAGCACAAGGAGCAGAGCTTTGAGTGGCTGCTGAAGAATGACCCTTACTATGCTGTGTATGTGGCGGCTACTCACCTGAAGGAAAGAGAGGAAGGAAACAACAGTCGCTCTGACCAGATGACCAACAAGGTACTCTCTCAGTCATGAACCAACAAAATGAACCATAGCATACTTTGCAGGAAGAGAAGGGAGTCCTTGTTTGAGCCTTTGGGCTTGGAGCTGAAAGCCCAAAGGGATTGAACAATAGGTGAGAGTCTGAATCCCGAGCTTTGATTGGACAGAAAACAGGAATTGGCTGCAGAACACTTAAACATGCTTTACTGCTGATGTCAACAACAACACAAGTGTGCACATGTGTCCAGCTGTTTCTCACAGTGAGCAGTGTATATTTACTCCTATAACCTGGATTTACAAAAATCAAAAACATGTGGCGGCCGCCATCTTGGAATCTGCACAAAGCAGTAGAGCTGCATCAATCAAATCTTTATTTGTAGAGCACATTTAAAACAGCCCTAGGCTTACTAAAGTGCTGTACATACAGTAATAAACGGCACAATAAAAACACAACAAATTACAGAAATATGTACACACATAAAAGTCTCTTACTTGTCCTTGTGCTTCAAAAGTGACCAGGTTTAGTAATGTACATGTCACATTTGGCACGGATAGAATCACTCAGATTGTGCAAAAGACAGAAGCTTGCAAAATGTTTAGGTTAAAAATCTAGTCTGTGCAGGATATAATTATGTACAATAAAAAATCTGATTATGTACAATAAAAAGAGCCGACTTTTGGAATATCCTGTTAAGCCGTTTTTCAGAGGACAAAAGTTGTCGTACAAATATATTGGATAATTCTGTTTCCGGGTACGACACAACCGGCAAGGATCAGATTACAAGCGCACATGCTCATCAATCTTTTTGAGCTGAGACCCGCTCCCACTGGTTGGGACACATACACACACATATGTACTCACATAAGCCCCGCCCACTCTGTCCTTATGACAGAGACTGACTTTATGTCCACATAGTGGAGTGGAAATTGTGATTAGGTCGAACAGTATTCTGGGTCTGTTTTGTTCCAATGCTACTATAGCTATAAGCTAGCAGAAGTGTAATCAGGCCGCATTGCACCACATCTGCATCAAAAGGATCTGTGCAAAAAGAAGACTTGATTGTTTTGCTCTGTTTTGGTTTACTTTCAGGACGATCTGGCTCAGTACGTGAAACTGTTTCCCAAAGTGTGGAGAGATGTGCACTTTTATAAAGAAGGACTGGCTCCAGTGGGTTTTGGAAAATATTCCAAACTCACACGTGAGAATTTGTACAGCTCCACAAAGGAGGACAAGAAGAGGTAACACAAACTTAAATTACTGAACACTCGCAGCAACGCTTTGTTCCACGATGTATCACAATGTATCGCACAGATGTCACGATTTGTTCGTTATTATGATTAATATTTCATATTCACTTATATCTGGAATAACTGCTTTAGGGGTCACAACACACGCACAGACAAAGACACACACACATGGGTTTGGATGCACCAGAACATGTAGTTTTTAAACAGATCAGACAAAACAATTGACACAACTACAGTAGAGGGTCTGAGCGCAGCAGAAAACACCTCAAGACGTGGAATGGGAGCTTTTGTGAAACACAGAATTGATCACATCCGTCTCTTCAGCAATCGACAAACTATTTTAATAATCAGTCAGACTCAAATACTGCAGTAAAACAATAGCATTTGTTTTAAAAATGGGAGTTTTCACCATTTTACTCTGGTTCTTCTTCTCCTCTCACTAAACTAATGGTTGTTTCTGCAGCTATGTACGCTGGATGCTACAGCAGGAGGGAGGGAATAATAATCCCCGGCTGGACGCAGCTGTAAAGTTCATTAAATAATCGCAAAGAAAATCCTGACCTCTACCGCTACGTCTCTCCACCCCCAAAGAAGAAGAAGAGGGCCCCCAGCGGGACCAGGTCTGACACTCTGACACCTGGCTCTGTTAGCAGTAGTTGTATAAACATGTTTATTCTAAACATAGATCGACATAACACACATGGTCACACATGGTTCCAGTGGGGTTGGACAGACTCTATGGTCCCAGTCCCCTCCCATTCAAACCTCCGTCCAATCAGAGTCTGTCTTTCAGGACTGGACTGACAGAGCGTGACGTCGCCATAGCCAAATACGAAAGAAGCTGATTTGAACATACATTTAAATTCCTGACTGTAGTAGAACTGTGATATTGTGCGTCACTTTACGTATTTATTTTAACACACACTCATTCTCCCTGAACTATTGCACATATTTTTAGTGGTAGGGGAAACCGGAGTACCCGGAGGAAACCTACTCAGACACGGGGAGAACATGCAAACTCCACTCAGAAAGGCCCGACTGGGATTCGAACCAAGAACCTTCTTTTTTGTGTTATACCTTTCATGTGAGCCCCGGCCGTGGTAAAGGCGTGCAGGGGAGTGTGTCGCTCCAGGGCCAAAGGAATGAGTTTCCTACGGGGGATAAGACCAAAACACACGAACATTCACCGATATCCAGCCCCGGTCGCTCTGCTCGTACGCCACTCTTTTCATTCTCATTCATTAATTTCTCAGCGCTCACACGTTTACTCTAAGGCGAACCCTCGTGTCCGCTGCACGTCCACACACACACACACACACACACACATTACCCACTGAGCTACTGGGTAAAGAAAGACACATCTCATGGCTGATGTTAGTGTTAGCGCCACCAGCTGGACCGAGCGTTGTACTACATTTACCACATTTGGGCACAGTTGAAAAAAAAAAACCTTCTGGCCGTCTTATATTTTATATGTGTCTTTGGTACAAGAGTAAAACAGAACCTACATTATAACAAAAGACACTGCATGAACAAGTTCAACATAAACTTAAACTTTTGCTTGACTCTTGTGCTTTGTGTGTTCCCCAGACGTGGTCGTCCTGCAAAGAAACGCTGCTGAACCAAACGGCTTCTTCCAACTGCTGGATCCCTTCGTCGGCGTTGTGCGGCGAGGACCCTTCGACGCCGCTTGCGGCTTTAATTATTATTGTTTCTTGTTTAAGATCTCATTTGAACATAATCATGATTTCTATGTGTTTTTAAAGATACAGTTACAGTTGAGTTTAAACTCAAAATTATTCATAACAAGACAGTTTTAACATATTATGGAAAGAGAATTTATTTTACACATTGAACCATTTGCAGTTACTTTATTTTGTTGTGCCTCTTACTACTGTCCTGTAAGTGCGCTGCAACACATACATTTCCTCACTGTGAGAGTTTCTTATTTCATATATATACAGTATATACAGTATATATATGTTGACGAGCAGCTAGGTCCTGTGCAGAGGCCAATCAGATCACAGAGCATTAATATTTATTCATTTGTGCAAATGTAAATATGTGAGATTATAGAGTTCGGCTGTTTGTCCCCAGGCCCCTTATGCAAACTTTAAAAATGTTCTATGGAGTACTTGAAAAAATGCCATTTTGTTTTTATATTTTTATGATCCCTGATTTGGCCCATGTGACAAGAATATTGAAAATAAATTGTTTTTCCAACAACTGTGTCTCAAGGAGCTTTGCCACACACTTCCTTTTAATTCCACATGTTATTTCATTTTTATTACCTCTCTCTGGTCTCTCTCTGGTCTCTCTCTGGTCTCTCTCTCTCTGTTCTCTCTCTGGTCTCTCTCTCTATGGTCTCTCTCTATTCCCTGTCTCTAGTCTCTCTCTCTGGTCTCTCTCTAGTCTCTCTCTCTGGTCTCTCTCTGATCTCCTTTTGCTCTATATTTTCCACTTAACTTTATCACGGATCCTTGAAGACCCACGTGACCCCCTCACGTTTTTCCTAAATATATTTTTAGCCCTGCATAAGTGCATATAAGTAAAGTTTACTTGTATAACGCCTTTCACAGACCAGGATCACAAAGCGCTCATGCACTTCTGCCTCTTGTATTTTAGTATATTATTATTATTAGCAGGAAGATATGCCATGGTGCAGGTTTTGGGTGGCAAGGGAAACAAACTCACCCAGACATAGAGAAAAAATCCTAATATTAGTCAGATAAACTTTGCCTTTCTTCTCGAGACATGTTTTTATTGTGTGTGAAGTCCCCAACTTTCATTCGATCTCCTTCTTACTTTCATTCTCTCTAAGGAAATGGTTGAATATTGTACTTTTGATGTAGACATACTGATAACTTTCTCCTCTTAAAGCAACCCCAGTCCTGTTTTGCAGCTCACTCAGGTCCCAACTTAAGACCCATTTCAATCTGGAGAGACTTAAAACAGACACAGAGAAAGCATTTAGACAGGTTTATTGACTGGCACATTGAAATGGGATAGTTCTGCACTATAGGTTGTCATGGCAATGTTTATTTTATTAAATATTTGACCAAACCAATATTTATCCGGAAAGGCCCCACTCTGCCCTAGAATCGATTGCAGACGCTTAACTGCTTAACCGAGTATCTATAATAAATCATCACGTACTTTTCACAATTGTTTTTAATGCACTACGGTGGGAGGCCAGACTTGTGGAAAGGGGATCATAATTCTATATATGGTGTGTGTATATCTATATGTATATCCATATATCATTTCTATTTTATAAATGTATTTTGTATACATATAATTTTCTCTAAAGGCCAACTACAATGAACGACTGTGGGTTGTGGGAATGGAAAAGTGTTTCAAGAATCTGCTTGCTGACACGGGGAGAACCTGCAAACTTTAATGACGTTGATATACACTGCAAAAAAGGATCAAATATAGCTTGTATCGAGTGGTTTTTAGTTTCATTTAAACACATTCTGACTGTGTTAAAACGAGATTTGCCAATGGGACAGAGCCATTTTAGACTTTATTTTTCTCATTCCGAGGGATATATTTCTTTTATCTTTTCAAAACAAATTGTGCTGAAATTAAAATACATTTAGCTAAATTTCCCAGAGGTCTCCTATCACGTTACTAACCAGGCCCTGTCCTGCTTAGCTTCAGCGGTCTATTGGAATCTGGCTTTCATCTGCAGGTGGCGCCACATCTTCATATACACAAAATTATAGAAACAATGGAGAAGGAAGGCAATTTTATTAGTATAGTGCATTGTATACAGAAATATCTATTTTAATCTGTCTATCTTAATCCCTCTATCCATCTATCTTAATCTTTCTATCGATCTACCTTAATCCCTTTCTCTATCTTAATCTCTATCTATCTATCGATCTTAATTAACCTGGCAAGAGCCAGATTGATGATTGTGTAGAACTCTAACGCGTTCTCCGCGATATCAATCTGGGATTTCTCCCGGAGAATCCTTTCGGGGAAAGGAGGGATAAGCAGCAGAATACTTCAAGCTGATTGGGCGAAGTGACGCTGTGTGCCCGCCTACACTCTTGCCAAAACCCGTAGGTAAAAATGCACAAACATCTTTGCCGTCCAGAAATGCACAAAGCGCCTCTCGCTGTTCATCTTTCAAAAAATAAATTGGAGATTCTGCTAAAACTGACTTGATAGCCTCAGCTACGCGTCCGTCCTCCTGCGTAGCCATGTTTGTTTTGCTTTGGCCCGGCACTTCTTGCTTTCGTCAAACCCGGATATCCCGCCCTAAACCCCCAGACTGGCGCGTGATTGGCTCGCACACCCAGTGGTTCGACTCGAAAAGTGTAAGCGGGAGCGGGGCAAGATGTATTCTCGAGTGTTTGTGAACTCACAAATACCGCGAGAATTCAGCTTGCAGGCAAGGTTAGATCTTAATATCCCTATCTATCTATCCTAATCTCTCTCGATCTTAATCTCTATCTATCTATCTTAATCTCTCTATCTATCTATCTTAATATCCCTATATCTATCCTAATCTCTCTCTCTATCTTAATCTCTATCTATTCTATCTTAATCTCTCTATCTATCGATCTTAATATCCCTATCTGTCTATCCTAATCTCTCTCTCTATCTTAATCTCTATCTACAGTATCTATCCTAATCTCTCTCTATCTATCTATCTTAATATCTATCTATCTATCTATCTATCTATCTATCTATCTTAATCTCTATCTTTCTTTCTCTCTGAACAATTACATTCAGGGAAAAGAGAAGACCGGTGCAACCAAAAAAACCTTGAAATGGTTTTGCAATATCACTTCTTTTTTCTTTCCTTTGTGAAGACGTCTTTGCTCCAGCTCAGTTTGACGTCCCCCAGGTTGTTTGCTTTGAAATGTTCTCGCAGCTGAGGAAAAGGAAGAATGTTCGTTATTCCAAGTAAAGTCATGTTATACCTTGTTCTCTCCAAAGGGAAATGTGTCCTCTGGATTAGACCCATCCTTCAATTAATGTTGGTGTACGTGACCGGATTTAACATTTAACAGTGAAACCCGTTCATTGAATTGAGAATATGAATGCAGATGGCCTAGACAAGAATTCAATTAAAGCTTTGATTTCAAAATCTGATAGAAAATGTGTATAATCCACTCTTCACAAACCTGTTCCGATATGGGGCTGAGTGGGTTGAGATCCACAAACGAGGACATCTTTATTTTCTCCAAAGTCTTTTTTATTGGACCTGAAAAAAAAATCAATAAAAATGTATTTCAGGATTGTATCTTCACTCTTAATGTATGTGATCCCTTGTCTTGTATGACACAGGAAGTTTCAGGTTAGCCTCTGCCGCTTGTTTACCTCAGCTGTCCGTGCTAACGAGAGACCAGCTTTTCTCAAGAAAGTGGGGGCCAGTGCTCCGCTGTGATTGGTCACAATCGGGACCCGAAACACATTCTCTTCTTTGTTGCACGAAAACTCGACAAGGTACTCATTTTAAACTGACATCTTACAGGGTCCTTCAAAGTTTATAAAAATGTGGCTGTTTTCTTGGAACTTATGCTTATGGACCAATTTTGTTTAATTGTTGCTCTTCTTGTGTTTGAAATGTTTGATTCTAAGATCTGTGTTGGCAAATCTCTTGTGGTTAAGGGCTACAAAAACTAAATTGAATGGAATTAACTGGTGGCAGACATTAACTGGTGGCCGGACAGGATCTGACTTTCACCTGCTGGTGGTCCTGAAAAGTGTACCCCAACTTTAAATTGTATTTAACATGGCCTGCAAGTGAAAGCCTGATCCTGGTAGAGCCCAGAAGCTAAGCAGGGCAAGGCCTAGGTTAGTTCTGTGATGGGAGATGTACAGTGCCTAACTGTTATTGTGTCCTCAGACAAGACACTTCACCCTCGTTGCCTGGAATGAGTCTGGTGTGTGAATGGTTGGAGGTGGGCGGAGGGTCCGATGGCACAGATTACAGCAGTAGTTTATCAGCACAGTGTTCAAAGTGAATTGGTAATGCTACAGTATGTGAAGGATCTTTAGTGTTCAAATAAGTGTAATAAAAACTAATGCATTATTATTATTATTATTATTATTATCATGATAATCGAGAAACTGTGTCCTCACCCTGGAAGCAGATAAAACAGCTGTTTTTCTCATCACAGGGAATATCGTTCAACCGGCCCGATGTGTCCAAAGTCACACAGTTATTCGCTCCTCCATCATAATTATTAGGTTGGCCTGGAACCCACACTGACTCTGCTGCATTGTACTTGACTGTGGGCTGAGACCAGTACCAGGTTCGTTGGTTGCTGGTTCTATGAAGTCCGATCCAGAAGTCTGTGTGTCCTCTTGCAGCAGACTTGAGTTTCTCGAGGTCCTTCATGTCGCTCACTGAGGCCAGGTCTGAGTAGTGCTCTCTGCAGTGACTCTGAGCATGACTCCACGACATCGGCTCAGAAACAAAGCAGAACTCAAAGACCAGAGACGCTGAGACACACAACTGACCTACAGGAAGACGACATTTACAAAAAAAAACAGATTGTAGGAAGATTAAATGATGTATTTTTTTTAGAATGTAAATGTTTCATGCCAAGTAAAATGATCTGGAATCAAACCCAGGACCTTCTTGTTGTGAAGCATGAACGAGACAAATACAAAAGTAATGAAGATGGACTGTAACTCACTCAGCAGCAGAGAGAGCAGAAACGTCGGATCCATATCCAGCTGAAAAGAGAACAGCCTTAAGAGTGAGGACCAAACCAAGAATTAGGACTAAGCAAGGACTAAAGCTAGGCTAAACCAGGTCAGAACCAGGATTAAACATGGACTGAAACAGGACTCAACCATGATTAACCTGGTTCTTAACCAGTGATAAACAAGGACTTATCTTCCAAAGTCTGCTCTCGCTGCTTCTACTTGTGGATTATGAATAGTCTCTGAGGTTCAATATGAAAATGCTCACCTGTGACTTACCTGTATCTGTCAACACAACCATCACACGGGCGGACAAAAAACAAAGGTCAATGCTCACCTTTGCATTTGCAGATCATCTAAAAAAGTTCCCAGCCAAGAAATGCTTTGCGTCCATGCTCTAGAGACATTTCCATCATGCTGCCAAATCTCATTGTCGTTGGTGAGGGTGGGAATGTGGATGGACCAACATAGGTGACTTGGTTTTTTTTTACCCCCCACAATATCTTTGATCACAAAAAAATTACGCACATTTTACCTTTTGTGTCCTTCCAATACGGTTCAATCACAAACACTCGTCGCTGTGTGGTCTATGTACCTCAAAATGCTTTACATACACATACAGAAGAAGTGAAAAGTACAGTTTTGTCTATCATGCACATAGTTGTAAAATATCCATTACTATTTACTTCAAGCAATTCAACCACATTTTGAAAACAACCCTTTTGAGAGACACGTGGACTGATTAAGAACATTTACATAGGTTGAAATTCTAAATATTAGAAAAACTGCATTCGATCAGTCTGCAGTGTAGTGCGTGAACTGAAATGGTGTCAGTTCGTAATCCACAACTCAGTATGATACCCCAGAAGTTTCTTACTTTTTTCCCACTGGGTTTTTTTCAGTTCCTTGCCGATGCAGGAGGGTCTAAGGACAATGAGGACATTTAAGGACATTCATGGGCATGTAATAACATTCATGGACAATGGTCATCTCACTCCTTTTGCACCAGTGGCTCCTATTTGTTTGTTATTTACTGCATGTCCTGTGTTCAGACTGTCAATTCAATTCAATTTATTTTTGTAGCTCAAACGCAGAAAATACATAAAAACACACAGAGAGCCATTGGTCCATCAGGGGCAGATGACCAATGTCCACAAACGTTGGTAAAGTCCATGAACGGTTTTGGATGTCGAATGTCCTGGATCATCTTTCTCTGATCTGTTGTTGGTGAATCGACAACTTTGTAAAGTCCTCCGAGATAACGTCTGTTGCACTGTCTTTAAATAATACACAATCCTTTCTTGGGTCTGGGCCTTCAAACCGTCACCCGTCAATGGTGCGCGCTCAGCATTTGCTGTAGAGAAGTAGGTTTTAGCTGCATACGCTGACAGTGTTGTGGTGGATCATAAGCTAACTTGACTCTATTTTAATTCATAGGCTGGGGACTGGCAACATTGCAGCCTTCCGTGTTTCTTTGGTGTGTTTACCTGTGCTCCTGAGTCCATCGTGACAGGAAGATCCAGACCTACAAACTGAACTATACATCAAAACATAATGAAATCAATCAAAGTAACTTAATGTCTGCCAATTATGATTTACAAACCTGTGCGCCTTAGAGTGCTTTTTTTTTTTATTGGGGACAATTCTTTCTGTTATTTAATTGTTATTGTTTTAGGAGCCTGTAGCCGCCTTGACTTTCCACAATCATTATTGACATTTTTCAGTGCAGTTCTTTCCCATGACAGATGGATCGTTGGAATAGTGATTGAGCGTTCAAAACCAAGTCATTTGAATGGAAGAAGGGCTTCATTTCATCTCATGAAATGAAGCTTAAGAGTAAATTGAGACTGGAAGACCAAAGAGACGTCATGCTGCCGCACTGACTCGTCCCTCTGCACACCTTCTTCTTCTTTATTTATTTCCGGCAGGCTGTACACGATATAAGTGTAATGCTGCCCTCTTCCGTTCAGGTTGTTATCGCATTATTACACTCGTTGATACACTCTGCACACCTGCTCCGAGCTCAACAGTAATCAGCCTCAGCTGCTCAGTAACACACCTGTGCTAATCAGGGCTGCTCAAGCTGCTGTTTGAGCAGCAACCCACCTCCTCCCATCACCGTCTCTTCAGTGGAGTATCTTGTCATATCTTCGGCTCAGCTTCTTTGCCCCCAGGCTCTAGGCCCCGGGGTCTAGGCCCCAGGGTCAGAAGCTCATCATTTTTATTAAACTCCCTTCTGCAAACGTCAGGCAGTATTCCCGCTGGGGTCTAATCGCCAAAGCTTATCAATAACTATAATAATACTCAATCTAAGTCTGCTGGTGTTGATTCATGCATCTTGACAACAAACATTCAAATGCAATCTTTGTTGAGTCTCCACAGATTGAAATACACGGAGGTTTTTAGTGACAGCTCATTGGTCTTTCATCTCCCATTTTTATGGAATGAATTTCATAATAATAATAATACATAGATACATAATTGAATACAGAATAATAAAATAAATGAATAACAGACCATATTGTTTTGTTGGGATAATAGTCTGTATATAATATGTACATGACTATCGTGCTAGCTCTAAGTCTTATCTTATCGAACAGACGAGTGCTCCATCCACGTACATTGAAAAGTAAACGTCCCTCATTCTGTAAGTGTTTACGTCACACTCACCATTTTGATAGTTTTTTGTAAATCCACATTTGACTAATTTCAACTTTATTCAACATGTAGTGAGTAGGGCAAGTAGGATCTGACCAGGCCGCTCCTGATTGGCTGACCAGTTGAATGTTGTTTAGTATTGCAAATGTAGCAGACCCATCAATTAATCCAAAACAAATGTCCGCCACGGCCGATAAATAAACAAATCTTGATGAATGAATTCTTGCCTTTGGAGCCTGTTTGAGTGAGATCTAAGTGGCTTCTTTGAGCAAAAAAAAAGTCTGTGATTATGTAACCCATGTCACATGACCATTTCCGGATTTAATTTGGAACAACTTCCCTTAAATACCACAATAACAAATCCAGTTTGGATACATATCCATCATAATTTACAAATAAATTCTTTAAAAATCCTACAATGTGAATTCCTGGATTCTTTTTTCACATTCTGTCTCTCACAGTTGAAGTGTACCTATGAACAAAATTACAGACCTCTGTCATTATTTTAAGTGGGAGAACTTGCACAATTGTTGGCTGACTAAATACTTTGTTGCCCCACTGTATATTCTGTACATATAACATTTGTCGAGCTGATGACAAATGTTCTCGCTTGAAAATCCTGACAGAGCCACACAAAATATTGGAATATTCATTTATAACATTAAATAAAATATGGCCCACTGTGTTAGCTCTTCGTTCAATTATATCATTTTAATATGTTTTTCATAAACATTGAATCAGTCCGGCGCTCGGCTTGAAGCAAATGTGTTTTTTTTGCCTCTGATGTATTTGACATCCCTGGTCTAAAGATTCAGAATTTGGATCCGTTAAACTGTTTATGTTTTCATTATTTCTACAGAGACACGTCAAAGTTCCATGTTGTGAGTTTGTTCATTGTGAGATCAATAAAGTTTATCTTATTCAATGATAATGGTTTTTATTCGTTGTTGTATCGATAAAAAGACAGAAGTGCATCTGTCTGTGGATGAGAACCGTCTTTCATCGTTCCACGTCACATTCTGAGGAACTGAGCACTTTTCTGTTCGGATCAAGTCAAACATCAACATTAATAAAATCACTCGTAGAGCACAGACCGCCACCAAGAGGCGCACATCCATTCCTTATAGACGTGACCCTGGATCCAGACGATGGCGTGTATGTTTGTGTGTATGTGTGTGTTTGGTCTGTCTGTGTGTGTGTGTGTGTGTATGTGCGCTTGGTCTGTGTGTGTGTGTGTGTTTGGTATATGTGTGTGTTTGGTCTGTGTCTGTGTGTGTGTGTGTGTGTGCGCGTGGGTTCATGTGTGTGTATGTTTGGTCTCTGTATGTATGAATGTGTGTGTTCTGTGTGTGTGTGTTCGGTTGTAAGTAAGTAAGTTAGTAAGTTTTTATTTATATACCGCCTTTTCACTGCACATCTGAGTCACAAAGCGGTTTACAATTGTTAATTTTTGGGCATTTGTCTCTCACTCCACACAGAGATGGGAACGGGGTCGCCAGTACAGGAGGCGCATGCCAGAACTATTGGACATATTTTTAGTGGTAGGGGAAACCGGAGTACCCGGAGGAAACCTACGCAGACACGGGGAGAACATGCAAACTCCACTCAGAAAGGCCCTGGTCCGACCGGGATTCGAACCCAGGACCTTCTTGCTGAGAGGCCAGAGTGCTATCCACTCAGCCACCGTGCCGCCGGTGCCGGTTGTGTGTTGTATGTGTAGGTGTGTTTGCTCTGTGTGTGTGTTTGGTTTGTGTGTGTGTGTGTGTGTGTGTGTGCGCTTGGTCTGTGTGTGTGTGTTTGGTATATGTGTGTGTTTGGTCTGTGTCTGTGTGTGTGTGCGTGTGTGTGTGTGCGCTTGGTCTGTGTGTGTGTGTTTGGTCTGTGTCTGTGTTTGGTTGTGTGTTGTATGTGTGCGTATGATTGCTCTGTGTGTGTGTTTGTGTATGTTTGGTCTGTGTGTGTGTCTAGACTCAAGTGTGTAGCTAAAGAGGATTCAGTCTTTGCTGTAAAATCCATTTAATCAGTGCGTAGTAAATTCTGATACAGAGAAAGAACGAGTTTTGTATAAAAATATTTAAATGCACAAAACTCTACAAAACTATGTACACATTTACAACAACATTTGAATACAGAGGTTTCTTATTGTGTAGTGCTTTGGCCCTGAGAAACTTGTACTGAAAAAGTGGTTCTCAAGATGTAGTGTGCGCCCCTGTGTGGTACAACTGTGCATTACAGTCCATTTAATGCCAGTTTGACCTGGTTCAGTCTGGATGAGTTCAGAATGTCCTGTCAGGTTGGCTGATTTTGTCGAGTCTTGTAACGGATTATAATAAATTCATGCTGTATAGTTTTTTTTTAGCCATGTATTGTTCTAGTTTAGTGCTTGTTTGGTCCTGCTTTTGTCATTTAGTCCTTCTTCAGCACTTCTTAAGTCCCTACTATAGTCTGCCTCATTTCTGCTTCAGTTTTGCTCCTGTCCTGGTTCAGTCCTGCTTCAGTCCTGCTTCAGTCCTGTTTTAGTCCAGCTTTAGTCCTGCTTCAGTCCTGCTTCAGTCCAGCTTTAGTCCAGCTTTAGTCCTGCTTCAGTCCTGCTTCAGTCCAGCTTTAGTCCAGCTTTAGTCCTGCTTCAGTCCTGCTTTAGTCCTGCTTTAGTCCTGCTTCAGTCTAGCTTCAGTCCAGCTTCAGTCCTGCTTCAGTCTAGCTTCAGTCCAGCTTTAGTCCTGCTTCAGTCCAGCTTTAGTCCAGCTTTAGTCCTGCTTCAGTCCTGCTTTAGTCCTGCTTTAGTCCTGCTTTAGTCCTGCTTTAGTCCTGCTTTAGTCCTGCTTTCGTCCCTGCTTTAGTCCTGCTTTAGTCCTGCTTTAGTCCCAGCTTTAGTCCTGCTTTAGTCCCTGCTTTAGTCCTGCTTTAGTCCTGCTTTAGTCCTGCTTTAGTCCCTGCTTTAGTCCTTTCAGTCCTGCTTCTGTCCACATTGTCTCAGTCTCTTTGCATCATCACTACGAGCCCCAGCGGCTGTCTGACGTTGATGATGTCACAGGGGTGGGCGGGCCCTTGACGCTGCGCACCACTTCCTGTGCCGTTTTACCCAGCATGCCTTGCACGTCGCACACAAAGCGGTACACGTAGCGCTTGCCAGACGTCTTGTGGATGATGTTCTTGTGGTAGTAGTATCTCAGACCACGGCTCAACTTCTCGTAGTTCATCTTAGGCTTGTTCTTACACTGGCCCCAGCGTTTGGCCACCTGTACACAGACACATGGTTACTATGGTTACTACGGTTAGTACTACTACTATTAGTACTACTACTACTACCTGTACACAGACACATGGTTACTACGGTTACTACGGTTAGTACTACTACTACTACTACTACCTGTACACAGATACATGGTTACTAGGGTTAGTACTACTACTACTACTATTTACTAGGGCTGGGCGATATGGCAAAAAAAATTAATCTCAATTTTGGATTTTAATAGATTTTTTTCTACCTTTATACAGTTTAATCTAAATTTCCCTATGGAGCAGAAGTGTGACAGGAAATAAGCCTTAAAACATGCTTGTAAAGGAGATGGCCCTGTCGTTGTAAACAGTGAAAATGCAGCTTAACAGTTTTCTAATAACTTCACTTACAGTGACACAATGCACCTGCAGGGCTCCTGAGGGCCATAGCAAATATATGAATCCTATTAAACTCATGCATTATTTACATGAAATATCACATTTTTAAAGCTGATGATTACTCAAAATACAATTGTTATAACAGAGAAAGTCTTTTACAAAAGCCTCCTCCTTGAGTTTTCATGCTTGTTCTTTCAACCGTGCCAGAGCAACTGTGCTGTAGTACAACTCTTGGTTCGAGCACGGAACGCGTTGTTTGTATCAGAGCAACGAAAACAATGTGTGAGACATGTCTTTCCCCAAAGTGAAGCCGCTCAGTGGGACACGTGTGTGTATGTGTGTGTGTGTGCGTGTGTGTGTGCGCGTGTGCAGGTTGGTGTGTTCTGGCAATTAAATAAAGTCTGATTCTTGAATATTTTGAAGTGTTGTTGCCACAGCACCACACTGAGAGACGGTCAGGACAGAAGAGAGACTGTTAACATTAGGGAGTTTTCAAAATGACTCAACACCCAATTTTGATTAAAAAGAAATTGCCCTAATTTTAGTTAATAATTAAAATTGATTTATCGCCCAGCCCAACTACTTACTACTACTACCTGTACACAGATACTATAGCTGCCACTACTTCCACTCTAAAGCCTCACCTCAGACACAGACATAAGCTCTAGAGCCTCACCTCAGAGGGGTCGGACATCTTGAACTCCCAGCCGTCTCCGGTCCACGAGATGAAGCTGCGACAGGAGGAGTCCAGCAGGAGCTCCAGGAGGAACTGCCACAGCTGGATGGGCCCTGATCCTGGACACACACACATACACACACACACACACACACAGGTCGGTCACCTCACTGTGGTCCATGTGACATCATCTACACAAGACTAAAGACAACCCCATACTAAATAAACACATCATTTTTTATCGTTTTTCCTGAAGGTTTCCATATCCACGCAGCAGACATTTAGTTTTTATTCTGGCCTCACTGTAAAAAGTGATGCAAAATAAGTCAAAAAATTGCTCAAATTTGGCAAAGTGTATCTTAGTTTGTGCACATTCTGACTGAGCCTTAAAACAAGATTTTCCAATGGGACCAAGCTAAAGGATCTTGTTTTAAAAATATACAAGAAATGTCTCCCTTGGAATGAGACTAAATGAAATCAGACTAAACGGCTATGACCCTTTGGAGACTCTTGTTTTAAGTCAGAATGTGCTCGGATTAAGATTAAAACCACTCGATTCAAGCAATTATTACCTCATATTAAATCACTTTTTGCAGTGCATATTTCACACATTATGAATGACAACGCAAACACTCATCGTTAGTGGTCGTGTGAAGCCACTTATTGTCAAATATTCATGTTGTCTCTGTTCGATAACACTGACGATAATTGATCCATCTCGCAAACACAGCTGGAGTAATGCAAATATATGTGGATGTATACAAACACCTATATATTTATGCTCTATACACAGGATTTTATAATTGCTTCATTATTATTCTAAAGTTAGGATTTTTTGTATTTTTGTATAGAGTTATTGTTCTGTTACTTGTGATGCAACACTGACATTTCCCGACTGTGGGACGAATAAAGAATTCCTTTCCCACCATAAAGTGCACATTTGAAATCTAAAAATATCCGTTTTAGACCTGATTCCAAACAGACAGTACCTGAATACGCCGACATGGCAGAGATGGGCCCCTCTCGGTCCGGTCTGTGCACCGCGGAGACTGCGGTTTTGCGTTTGACCACACGGGGGCAGTATGTGTGGGACCTGGAGCTGGACTGGGGGTGCGAGGGGTGGGAGGGGGTGGGGGAGGCGAAGGAGGGCAGGGCCGAGTACTCAGGCCAATAGTCTGCACTGGGGAAGACCTCACTGACACCTGCAGAACCAGACCAGGGTTAGACGGTTTAAAGCTGGGGGTCCTAACTTTCAGACCACACTCAATAATGCCACATATCCCATCTATGTCCAGAGAGAGACCAGAGAGAGAAGCGAGAGACCAGAGAGAGACCAGAGATACAAGCAAGAGACCAGAGAGAGAGGCCTGAGAGAGACCAGAGATATAAGCAAGAGACCAGAGAGAGAGACATGAGAGAGACCACAAAGGGATCAAAAAGAAAGACCAGAACGAGACCAGAGAAAGCAGAGAGAGACCAGAGGAACAAGCAAGAGACCAGAGAGAGAGACCAGAGAGACCAGTGAGAGACCAGAGGCCAGAGAGAGACCGAGGGACAAGCGGAAGACCAGAGAGGCAAGCGAGAGACCAGAGAGACAAGTGAGACCTGAGAGAGACCAGAGAGAGACCAGAGAGAGACCAGAGGCCAGAGAGAGACCGAGGGACAAGCGAGAGACCAGAGACAAGAGAGAGACCTGACAGACACCAAAGAGAGACCAGAGAAAGACCAGCGAGAGACAAGAGAGAGACCTGACAGACACCAAAGAGAGACCAGAGAAAGACCAGCGAGAGACAAGAGAGAGACCTGACAGAGAGAGAGACCAGAGAGAGACCAGAGAGAGTAATGTCCTACAGAAGTGTATCTGACCTGGTGCGGTGCTGAGGGAGGGGCTGCAGCTGTAGGGACTGTGGCTGCACTCTGCGGCTGGACTGAAGTGAGTGTTCTGGGGCCCGAGACTCTGGTACGACAGGCCTGACGGAGCCTCAGGGGCCTCAGGAGCCTCCACACTCACCACGTCTGAGGAGGTATGAGGGAAAGGAACCGTTTACAATCAGAATCATTATTATTGCCCCATAAGCAACAGGAAGTCACAAACTAGGAATTGGCTTTGGCTCAAGCTGCAAAGAGTTAAAAGCTGATAACATGCATGAACCAAAATATATTCGTAAAATGACTACTACAGTGCAAAAAAAATGATAAAAAATTTGGTAATAATTGCTTGAATTGGGTGTTTTTATTATTATTATTTTTGTTTAATTGGAAAATCTAGTTTTAAGGCAGTCAAATTGGGATAAATTTAGGAGAATTTGAGACTTATTTTGTATCACTTTTAACGGAAATTCAGCACAGTTTTGTGCGTCTGAATCCATTGTGGATCCAGAGTCCATCTTTAGTCCTGCTTTAGACTTGCTTTAGTCCTGCTTGAGTCTAGCTTTAGTCCTGCTTCAGCCCTGCTTCAGTCCTGCTTTAGACCTGCTTTAGACCTGCTTTAGTCCTGCTTTAGACCTGCTTTAGACCTGCTTTTGTCCTGCTTTAGTCCTGCTTTAGACCTGCTTTAGTCCATATATAAAGTGTGGATCCTTAGTGGAGCTTCAGTCTCACCGCTGGGGTAGGAGGTCCACCAGCTGAAGTCCTGGCAGGAGTCCAGGTTGTAGAGCAGACTCTCTCCGTTCACTGGAACAAACCGGAACAAACACAACATTTTGAAATCACACTTTTAGTCTTTTGTTTTTTTTATGGATGAAGTGGACACATTTATTTCACTGGTGTTTTATCATTTTAGTACTGTTATTGTTTCTGTTATCATTATTATTATTATTATTATTATTATTATCATGCTGCTAACATGTACAGATAAATACATACAATTATATACTTCTGCACTTCTTTATTATGCTAAAGTTAGAGTTTTTGCAATAGCTTCTTTGTTATGCTATAATGTTAATAAATAAATGATCTTTTAATCTTGATCCTAGTCTTGCGATGTGTACCTTTGCTGCAGTAGCTCTGGTCGGGTTTGGTCTCGGTGAAGCCGGCCTCTGGTCCCTGGAGTCCGGATTTACTGGGGTCTAACAGAAAAGAGAGGTCTTCACCACCAAAGTCTGAATGGAACAGAAAACGACAGAAGGCGAGAGGTTAGGTGCAGAAGTAAGGGGCTGGGTTAGTGTGAGGTTTAGGATCAAGTTAGCGATCAACAGAGTTTTTTTTCCTTCTGTGAACAACTGTGTGACTGTAGGGATAACTACAGGTTAAAAGCTAAGAACGTTCACTTCAATGAAACCGTGATAATGTAATGTGCTAAGTCTGACACTACAGCAGGTATACAGGCGACAGCATCCCCTGGTGGAGGACAACACAATTACAGACAATGGAAGGAACGTTTCAGTCCAACTTTAGTCTCTGCTTCAGACCAGACCTGCTTAAGTCCTGGTTAAGTCCAGCTTTAGTCCTGCTTCAGATCTGCTTTAGTACTGCTTTAGTCCAGCTTTTGTCTCTGCTTTAGGCCTGCTTCAGACATGCTTTGGACTTGCTCTTGTCCCGCTTTAGTCCTGGGTTTTTTCCAGCTTTCGTCCAGCTTTGGACCTACTTTAGTCCAGTTTTAATCCAGCTTTAGACCTGCTCCAGTCCTGCTTTAGTCCTGCTTAGTCCTGCTTTAGTACAGCTTTAGTAGACCTGCTTCAGATCTGTTTTAGTCCTGCTCCGGTCCAGCTTTAGACCAATCTTAGTCCTGCTTTAGTTCAGCTTTAGACCTTCTTTAGTCCAGCTCTAAATGTGCTTTAGAACTGCTTTCATCCAGTTTCAGACCTGCTGTATACCTGCTTTAGTCCCACTTTAGTCCTGCTTTAGTCCAGCTTTAGTACAGCTTTAGTACAGCTTTAGTCCTGCTTTAGTCCAGCTTTAGTCCTGCTTTAGTCCAGCCCTAGAACCTCTTTAGACCTGCTTTAGTCCTGCTTTAGACTGGCTTTTGTCCAGCTTTAATCCTGCTTTAGACCTTCTTTAGACCTGCTTTAGTCCTGCTTTAGTCCAGCTTTAGACCTTCTTTAGTCCAGCTTTAGACCTTCTTTCGTCCAGCTTTAGACCTTCTTTAGTCCAGCTTTAGACCTTCTTTAGTCCAGCTTTAGTCCAGCTTTAGTCCTACTCCAGACTCATTTCCTGCGATGATGTCCAGCAGGAAAACATCTGTGTCCATTCGTTTGTTTCTGTCCATTCAGCAGTGGACGTGTCAGCGCGGCTTTGTGAATGGGAGGGTGAGGAAACATGGGGGTCCCGGGGTCTGGGGGGTCTGTGGGGGAGGAGGGGAGGAAAGGCCTGAGAGGGGAGTGGACCAAGCCACGCTAAATCTGTCCCAAAGGAAGTCTGCAGCTCCTGATTACACCATCACACCGTTCAGGCCACACAAGCATCAGGAGAGAGACCAGAGAGAGACCAGAGAGAGACCAGAGAGAGACCTGAGAGAGACCAGAGAGAGACCAGAGAGAGACCAGAGAGAGACCAGAGAGGGAACAGAGAGAGACCAGAGAGAGACCAGAGAGAGACCTGAGAGAGACCAGAGAGAGACCAGAGAGAGACCAGAGAGAGACCAGAGAGAGACCTGAGAGAGACCAGAGAGAGACCAGAGAGAGACCAGAGAGAGACCTGAGAGAGACCAGAGAGAGACCAGAGAGAGACCAGAGAGAGACCTGAGAGAGACCAGAGAGAGACCAGAGAGAGACCAGAGAGAGACCAGAGAGAGACCAGAGAGAGACCAGAGAGAGACCAGAGAGAGACCTGAGAGAGACCAGAGAGAGACCAGAGAGAGACCAGAGAGAGACCAGAGAGAGACTAGAGAGAGACTAGAGAGAGACCAGCGAGAGACTAGAGAGAGAGAGAGACCAAAGAGAGACCTGAGAGAGACCGAGAGAGACATGAGAGAGACCAAAGGGAGACCTGAAAGGGACCAGAGAGAGAGAGACCAGAGAGAGACCTGAGGGAGAGACCAGAGAGACCAGAGAGAGACCAGAGAGAGACCAGAGAGAGACCAGAGAGAGACCAGAGAGAGACCAGAGAGAGACCAGAGAGAGACCAGAGAGAGACCAGAGAGAGACCTGAGAGAGACTAGAGAGAGACTAGAGAGAGACTAGAGAGAGACCAGAGAGAGACTAGAGAGAGACCAGAGAGAGACCAGAGAGAGACTAGAGAGAGACTAGAGAGAGACCAGCGAGAGACTAGAGAGAGAGAGAGACCAAAGAGAGACCTGAGAGAGACCGAGAGAGACATGAGAGAGACCAAAGGGAGACCTGAAAGGGACCAGAGAGAGACCAGAGAGAGACCAGAGAGAGACTAGAGAGAGACTAGAGAGAGACCAGCGAGAGACTAGAGAGAGAGAGAGACCAGAGAGAGACCTGAGGGAGAGACCAGAGAGACCAGAGAGAGACGAGAGACCAGAGAGAGACCAGCGAGAGAGAGACCGGAGAGAGAGACCAAGACCAGAGGAAGAGACCAGAGAGAGAGAGACCAAAGAGAGTGAGAGACCAGAGAAAGACCGGAGAGAGACCAGAGAGAAACCAGTGAGAGAGACCAGAGAAAGAGACCAGAGAGAGAGACCAGAAAGACACCAGGGAGAGACAGACCAGAGCGAGACCAGAGAAAGACAAAAGAGAGACCTAAGAGAGAGACCAGCGAGAAACCGGAGAGAGTTAAAGCTGGGTTACCTAACTTTTTCCTTGTGAACAAATCGGACCACAACACGTGTCAGAAAGATCCCTGTGAGTCACTGTTGGACTCTTTGGGCTGAGAGCTGATTGGCTGAGGGTCCAGTCATTAAAGTCACTTCTCTGTCTGAAACTAGTCCGAGGCCAGAACGAGGGAGAGAAGCAAACTGTTTTGAGGAGCCACTTATCTTGGATGTATGACGTAGTTCCACCATTTGAAAGTTAGGTACCTCAGCTTTAATGACAGAGCTCTCAGACTATAGCAGTAAATATGAAAAGTTCTTAGATCAAAGTGCCATAGTTTGACTTGATGAAAGAAGACAGCTTTAAACAGTGTGCGTGTGTGCGTGTGGGTGTGTGTGTGTGTGGGTGTGTGCGTGTATGTGTGTGTGTTTGTGTCTTTGTGTGTCTGTTTCCTGGTGTGAAGGACAGAGGAAACCCATCTGTCAGAGCTGCTCTTCTCCAACAACACGTCTGCTCCCAGTATGAACGCGCTGAGCTGAACGTAACGATACTAAATGTGTTGCTAATGCTGCGTTCAGGTCCAAAACTCTGGATTTAGCTGAGAAAACGTCTGGATTGGAATTCATGTTGTTGATTTATGGTATCTGGTCTCTGGTCTCTCTCTGGTCTCTCTCTGGTGTCTCTCTCTGGTCTCTCTCTGGTCTCTGTACGTCTGTCTGGTCTGTATCTGTTCTCTCTGGTCTCTCTCTAACCCTAACCTGAGAGAGACCAAAGAGAGACCAGAAAGAGACCAGAAAGGGACCAGAGAGAGACCAGAAAGACCAGAGAGAGACCAGGGACAGACCAGAAAGAGATCAGAGAGAGACCAGAATGAGACCAGAGAGAGACCAGAGAGAGACCAGAGAGAGACCAGCGAGAGACCAGAGAGAGACCAGGGACAGACCAGAGAGAGACCAAAGAGAGACCAGATACAGACCAGAAAGAGACCAGAAAGAGACCAGATACAGACCAGAGAGAGACCAGAGAGAGAACAGAGAGAGACCAGAGAGAGAACAGAGAGAGAACAGAGAGAGACCAGAGAGAGACCAGAGAGAGACCAGAGAGAGAACAGAGAGAGAGACCAGAGAGAGACCAGAGAGAGACCAGAGAGAGACCAGAGAGAGACCAGAGAGAGAACAGAGAGAGACCAGAGAGAGAACAGAGAGAGAACAGAGAGAGACCAGAGAGAGACCAGAGAGAGACCAGAGAGAGAGACCAGAGAGAGACCAGAGAGAGACCAGAGAGAGACCAGAGAGAGAACAGAGAGAGTCCAGACCTGGGTTGGGAGTACTGACCGTATGCTGTAAAGTCCAGTCCGACTGGCACCTCCTGGGTCCTAAACTCCTCGCTGTAGTAACAAGGGGCAACCGTGGCACTCTGACAAATCTCCATCTGGAAAAACAGATAACAACGACAAAACTTTATAATTATAATTTTTAAACAAGACGTATGATTTACCATGATCCTCATCAGTCACGGACCTGGTGGTGTTTTTAGATCCATCCATGCTAACATCAGTAACTTGTCGCACAAACATGTAGCTCCGCCCCTTCTGTCTAAAAGGTGTACCGCTATGACATCACACTGACAAACCACAAAAGCATTGCCATCTAAATTAGCTTTGGCCAATTCTCAAATTAAATTTGGAAAAAAATCTACAATAATAATAATTGCTAGTGCTCCCTCTGGTGGCAGCGTAGGGAGTTACAGGCAGAAAACATTGTTCAATCTATAAATAGCCAAAAAAAGAGAGACCAAAGAGAGAGACCAGAGAGAGAGACCAGAGAGAGAGAGGGAGAGGCCAGACAGAGACAGAGAGAGACTAAAGAAAGACCTGAGACAGACCAGAGAGAGAGAGAGACCAGAGAGAGTGACCAGAGGAAGAGACCAGAGAGACACATTCTATAGGAAATAGGCTCATTATCATTACCAAAAAGAGAGAGACCAAAGCGAGACCGGAGAGAGACCAGAGAGAGAGACCAAAGCGAGACCGGAGAGAGACCAGAGAGAGAGACCATATATGACATAGTTCTTTCTTAAAATGCAAATAAGAGTGAGGTTTAGATTTGAATTTAGGAAAGTTGTGCTGCTAAGTTTTGATGATTTCTTGGTCAATTTTTGATATGATATCTCTTCAAACGGTGTGTGTTTGTGATGTGGGTTGTTTCTGCAGCCGCCAGAGCGAAACTGTAACACTACACAACTTCACAGATAGAACTATAGCATTGACGTCCATACATTAAAGCTGGGGCACCTAAATTTAAGAAATAATCATGTCCCCATTCCTGGCTCTAAAACAGTTTCTTAGTTTTCACATGTAGGTATCTATGACCTCAGCTTTTTCAAACAGAATCGTGACAAGAGCAGACCGGCCTCGTTCAGATAATTGTTCACAGCATTTGACATTTTACAGAACTCTGAAGGGTCAGGAACCGCAGATTTAATTCAAACTAAACTAAACTCTGATGAAAAAGCAGGACCAGTTGGAGCTTCAGCAGTTTTTAAAGGATTTGTGAACTATCTGTAAACTCAATGCTATATAGAATTAGCATTGAGCTTTAATGTACCATAAACACTGCTATTGTTTTGTGTTTGAAGCGACTCAAAACCCTGGACTCCCTGGACCTGAGGACTAGTCCCCTGTCTGAGATCCTGGACTCCCTGGACCTGAGGACTAGTCCCCAGTCTGAAACCCTGGACTCCCTGGACCTGAGGACTAGTCCCCAGTCTGAGACCCTGGACTCCCTGGACCTGAGGACTAGTCCCCAGTCTGAAACCCTGGACTCCCTGGACCTGAGGACTAGTCCCCAGTCTGAGACCCTGGACTCCCTGGACCTGAGAACTAGTCCCCAGTCTGAGACCCTGGACTCCCTGGACCTGAGAACTAGTCCCCAGTCTGAAACCCTGGACTCCCTGGACCTGAGGACTAGTCCCCAGTCTTTACTGGTTCTTTAGTACCTTATTTCAGCTCAGTAGCTGCAAATTGTAGAAAAATATACTTTCTGGTCCAGATGGGCTCAATTCCATCTGGACTAACACTGTAAAAAAATATCAAGTATAATTGTTTTAATCTGAGTTCATTCTGACTGTGTTAAAACAAGATTCTCCAATGGGACAAAACCATTTATTCTTATTTCAAGAACTGTTGCTTTATTTTCTTATTCCGAGGAGACACTTGTTGTATCTTTTCAAAACAAGATCAGAATTGCCTTAAAACACGATTATTCCAAGGGAGAAATTAAGATTTTTATTTTTTTAACAAATGTATTATGTTCTTTCTAACCCCGCAGTGCAGTGCTGTTCTCGCTCAAAAGGCGGAACACGTGGATCAGGCCTGAAGCACAAACTGAGCTGTTGCTGTTGGAACATTGGAGAAATAAAAAAACTGACCATAAGTAAGTATTAAATGTAAATGTTACGGTTACTGTGGTAAAGTTTCTTCCAAAAGCAGTGAATAGAAAGCAACAGTGATGGAAGAAACAATATCCCAACTCAAAGTACCTTTATATTTAATTTAAAGTCACTGTTATTTAAATCCCTGATGGCCCTGAACTGTCTCTCTCTGACTCTATAGTGCAGACAGGTCAATCTCAGGCCCGTGGGCCACATCCGGCCACCAGACCAGTGTCAGTGGCCCCTGAAATGATTTTAAATGATTATATTAAGTTGCAGCATTGACCTTCAACCATTTATTTTAATGTATTCAGAAATGTTTAGCAACATGTTTTAAGAAGTTCTACTCTAAAATGTATTTTAAGAATTCTCAAATAGTCTCATAAAGTACATTAATACCTACATTAACAAGTACCTTAATGTTTGGTCTAGATTTGGTTCAATCCACAATACCTGAACTCATCAGAAAAGAATATCTAATTTAACTAATGTGAAATAAGACTTTTATCCAAACAACTTCTTAATGTAAATATATTTATAATCAAAGAAAAACATGTTTAAACTTTCGGCTTCCAAACAGGCCTTACGTTTTTTATTTGGTCCTGAACCAAAATGAGTTTGACCCAATGCCCTGGTATATTGCACAGTGTGTTCATTTCAGAGATAATATATTTATGTCTTTACTAAATGAATGATTTCAAAATGCTCATTCTGAACCATCATTTGTCCCACTGCGAGGAAATGTCAGTGTTGCAACGCAGAGTAGTGTGAACATCTACTATTAGATAATTTCAAATACATCCACTCCAACGTCTACCAGAAATGATTTAGTAAACATCAAATCAAAGTATAGGAACAATATACATGTAGAGGAATTATGTTAAAGAATAAGTGGATAAATAAATATCTCAAACATTGAAAAACAGAGAAATACAACACAAAACTTTGTCTGTCTTTTTTAGCAAAGTCAATAAACGTCTTGTAAAATCTTTAGTCCAAATATCAAGATCAAGACGAAGAGAGATCCTTCCACAGAGTTCCACAGTGGGGGAAATGCCAGTGTTGCATCACCAGGTAAAGAACAGTAGGAATGAGGCGCACACAGCACAAGATAAGGTCATATTATTAAGTATAGAATGAAATCTTCCTTTAGTGAGAGAAAGCAGAAATACAGCAGTTAGCAAGGCCTTAAAACAAAACGTATCTAAACACGCTTTAGTCTTTAATTCTGGTCCCGTCGGAAAATATTGTTTTACGACTGTCCAAATATTCAAAAAATAAACATTGAATTAGCCAAGTTTGAGCCTTTGAATTGATGGGCTTCTTTGCAGTCTCGCCTCACGTGCACATGCAACTAATATAATGTATTCGAGTATTTTCAATAGTTGTATAAAATCATTCAGCGTATTTAACAATTCTTTTTGGGGCTACTTGGAGAGGGATGAGAAGAGGTGGAGAGCTACTGGTTGCTCCCGATACCCACGATTAATATATTTAGACATTCTACCTTCGCTTTCGCACAATTATCAACGCGAACAAGTCCCAGGTTCAATAATTTGTCATTCATAATAAAAAACCTGGTGATAATTGTAAATCCAGGCGCAGTGATTGAGAGTCCTACCTTCCTCGCGCTGTCCCAGAACATGTCGTGCGTAAAAAGAGCCGTGCGCGCTGTGAGGAGTGCGCGCTGCGGCTGAGGCTTATGTACTGGAGGGCGGGAGCGCGCACTGGGGCCTGGACTGTGAGCGGGAGCGCGCGTGGAGGAGCCAGGAGGTCGGGGGTCGGGGGTCAGGGGAGGGGTTGAGGGGTGGTGGGGGGTTCTGACCGCGCGTCGTGTCGTGAGTGACCCCCACACGACATCACCACGCGCGCCTCTCCTCACGAGCCCTCTCACGTTACAGTTTCTTAAAGCCGAGGTACGTAAGTTCAGAGCCGATTACGTGTCTTGTATTGACAGAGTTTTGTTTGGTTTGAAAGTTGTGAATCAGTGACACTCAGGTGTGTTTGGCCTCTGCCGCTGCTCAGCCGATCACGTCAAAGAGTGACTCACAGGGATCGTTACGCTGGAACAAACAGTTATGAAAGACAAAAGTTAGGGTCCTCAGCTTTATACATAATATATTTGTACAGGAGGAAAACTGTGGCCCTCAGACTTTACTGCGGCACCTTCAAAAATAATGAAAAGAACTAACATTTTATGATATTGTTTTTGTCATTGATGATATTATTAAGTTATATCAGTTATAGACATTGGTCTCTGTCCCCGTTTGATTCTCTCTCTGTGTGTGTGTGTGTGTATATATAAAAGATCCATAAAAAACAGAACAAACACACTGCAAAAAATAATAAATAATACGGTAATAATTGCTTTTTAATCTGAGACATTCTAACTGTCTTAAAACAACATTCATTTAGTCTTATTTCCAGAAATGTTGCTTTATTTTTTAATTTTAAGGGAGACATTTCTTGTATTTACTCTGTTATTTACTCTATAGTTCTGTAGAATCAGAAACAAAAAAACTGGAGAGCGTGACATCACATGGGACAATTTCCTTTGACCACAAACATCTTCTGAAGTGTCTTGCCCAAGAACAGTCTGCCTTGGAGCCGGAGCTCCTGGTCTTCTCAGCAGTCTCCCATCCATACTGACCAGACTCTGGTTTGAAGTGGTTAGCCATGCTTCTAAGTTCAATATAACATGTTTTTCTATGCATTTCTAGATTTGGTTTATTTTGTGGCAGTTAAACACACAGCACATTGTTTATTTCTACTGTAATTTGTTGTTTGTTTTTTAATGTAGTCTTTTAACGTATTTTTAAACATGTGTAGAGCATTTGGTGTGAATTGTGCTATACAAAAAAACTGGATTACTTCAGAATATTATTGGCAGAGCATTAGCATTTCGTTTTTTTCTGTATTTCATTTATGTTCACCAGTTTTAGCATGTATTAAGGAAGAAAAAAACTAAATGAATTACTTATACATTTAATAAAACACTTTTTGCCGGGATTATTATTATTTATTTTGTTCAGATTTGTTTGAGTGAGAGCCGTGTCTGGAAGTTACAGAATTCTGGGACTCATATAGTGCTAATGTCTGACCATGCACTTTTAGTATACACTCATGGTCAGCACGCGTCATACGTCTATCCACAGTCGTGCGTAAAACCTCTCCATGCGCGTCCTCGTGATCCTCTGGTCCAGTCCCTGCGCCTCTCCCCGCGGAGCCTCGTTAATCACCGCTGCTCCGGCCCCTCCGCAGGTCTCCCTCCTGCTGAAACCCGAGACCCCACCGGCCCACCCCACAATCACGACGCGCGGCTCCCAGATGTGTGTGTTTGTTTGGACAGCGTGCTCTTATCTCCTCAGTCCAGTCCCCATTGTTTTAGCGACTGCGTGTTTGGAGATAGCGTCACAAGTTCAGCCATTACAGCCGTCTGTCAGTGCGAGTCCAGTCCGAGTCTGTCAGTCCAAGTCCAGTCCGAGACCAGTCCGAGTCCAGTCCGGGTCTGTCAGTGCGAGTCCAGTCCGAGTCTGTCAGTCCAAGTCCAGTCCGAGACCAGTCCGAGTCCAGTCCGGGTCTGTCAGTGCGAGTCCAGTCCGAGTCTGTCAGTCCGAGTCCCCACATTCTGTCAGTCTGAGTCCCCGCAGTGCGTCAGTCCGAGTCCCGCAGTCTGTCAGTCCGAGTCCCCTCGGGCTGACAGACTCGGACTGTCAGTCCTGTCAGTCTGTCAGTCTGAGTACCCGCAGTCTGTCAGTCCGAGTCCCCTTGGGTCTGTCAGTCCGAGTCCCGCAGTCTGTCAGTCCGAGTCCCCTCAGAGTCTGTCAGTCCGAGTCCCCTCAGAGTCTGTCAGTCTGAGTCCCGCAGTCTGTCAGTCTGAGTCCCCGCAGTCTGTCAGTCCGAGCAGTCCGAGTCCCCCCGGGTCTGTCAGTCTGAGTCCCCGAAGTCTGTCAGTCCGAGTCCATGCAGTCTGTCAGTCCGAGTCCCGCAGTCTATCAGTCCGAGTCTCCCCTGTTCTGTCAGTCCTAGTCCGCGCAGTCTGTCAGTCCAAGTCCCGCATTCTGTCAGTCCGAGTCCTGCCGTCTGTCAGTCCGAGTCCACTCAGAGTCTGTCAGTCCGAGTCCCCTCAGAGTCTGTCAGTCCGAGTCCCCTCAGAGTCTGTCAGTCCGAGTCCCGCAGTCTGTCAGTCCGAGTCCCCTCAGTCTGTCAGTCCGAGTCCAGTCCGAGTCTTACAGTCCGAGTCTTTCAGTCCGAGTCTTTCAGTCCGAGTCTTTCAGTCCGAGTCTTTCAGTCCGGGTCTTTCAGTCCGAGTCTTTCAGTCCGAGTCCCCTCAGAGTCTGTCAGTCCGAGTCCCCCGACCCCAGACCTCGGGAGACAGCGTTTCAGATTTATGCTGCTGAAATCTTCTTGAAAATGTGAGACAGGCTTCTTCTCTGACTATGCAAGGTTAAAAACAGTTCTTTTTAGCTGCAACGACCGAAGGATATTATCTTTACTCTTTTTAATGAATAGTTATGATTTAATTTAATTTCTTGTTTTGTTCAGCACTGTGAGGCGTGGACTGTGCTAGAACGCGGCTAGCCTTACATATACAAATACAAGAAATGTACTTGAAATCTTACGCATAAGTCTTATGTATTTTGACAACACAAAGGCTCCACTGTTTTACATGAGGAAAAACTGTCAGTCTCTGGATGAGGCTGGGGGGGTGAGACTGCACAACAAAGACACGGAGTACACACTCAAAGAGGCAGTTTGCAATAAATGTTATGTATAAAATAAATTCATTTTCACTTTGTCAATTGTTAATTTGGTTAATTTTCTCTTAATTGGTATTTATTAAGCACTTTTTAGTCCTTATTCTTTATTACCTCATTCAACATCTAAGTAACAACTAAATTAAATTTTCCCATGTGTGTTAGGGTACAATTATTAGCACCTAATTAGCTGTTAGCTAATGAGGTAAAGTGTTAGTAAAATTCCATTGGCTTCCATTCCTTCTCCTTCGACTCCCACTGTCTGCTGTCGTTGTGTCCTTGGCAAGACACTTAACCTCTGGGAACACCTGATACCACAGTGGGGCGGCTGCGGCTGTAAAGTGCCAAACTGCCGTTGTGTCCTTAGGCAAGACACTTCACCCCCATTGCCTTCAGAATGAGTCTGGTGTGTGTGTGAATGGTTGGTGGTGGTCGGAGGGGCCGATGGCACATACTGGTTGCCCTGGGGCACAGTAGTAGTTTATCATTCACAATGACATGCGTCTTTGAGTGTCCAAAAAAGCGCTATATCAACAACAATTTATTCTATAGCCCTAAATCACAACAGAAGTCATCTCAGAGGACTTAAAAAACCATTGAAATCACCAACACAGTTAAAACACAAAATACAAACATATGTCTTGGTCCATAGGGAGACAATGTCTAAAACCGATGCATTATTATTATTTATTAACATTTATAAACATTGTTCATTTGTCCCTATGGACTAATGGCTCTATGTGTTATCATTTCATTACTTGTGTTGGTTTGATTCTCTGATCTGTGTTGGCGAAATCGACAGCTTTCTAAAGTCCTCTGAGATAACTGTTGTGATTTAGGGATATACACAAATACATTGAATTAAACTGAATTCAATTGAATTGAATTGGTGCCTGGAGTCAATACAGATTGCTCCAAAGGCAAATTTTCTTTTCTTTTTTTGCTATAGAAGCAGCAACTAACCCTGAAAAAACTGAAGGACTGGGGCAGGTTGAGTTCGCAGAGAAATACTCGGATACTTGTGTGTGATTGACTGTGTGCGGTGACCCACGTCTGTCACTTTACAGCAGCTGAGGTCGGAGATAAGAAGTCTGCAGCTACTGAGACCTGAGCCTTAAAATCACTACATTTTATTGCCACAAAGTCCACAAAGTCACTCGAACAGCTGCTTTGGACCCAGAACAAGATTGAGCTTCTGTGAGACAATATTACAAACATTAATTAGCCTTTTAAGAATAAACATAATGTGACAATAAAGAGAATGGATTAAAGGAGAGAAGACATAAAAACACACAACTAAATTTTATAAATGGGGTTAAAATACATTTAAACCTATATGTGCCTTCTTATTGAGTTTTAGTGCAGATCAAACGCCCCCTGTCGGTTTTTGAAGGAACTCCATCTGCAGCTAGAGTGATTTAGAAACTACTACTTCCTGATCTGCACGTTTCTAGAGTGAATAAACGTATTGTTGTTTGTTGTATAAATAAAGGTGGAATCTTTTATAAACTTGAATTAAAGCTCGGGTGCTTAACTTCCAAACCACCATCAAAACACTATCACAATCCGTAATTGCCTTTTCAGACAGAGAAAGAAAATACAAAATAGATATTGAATTGAATTGAGAAAGTGTTATTTTTTTGCATTTATTTGTGTATGAAGAAGAAAGGAATCGACCAATCAGCTCTCAGCTCAAGGCGTCAAAAAGCAACTCACTTCGATCACGTGTTTTCTATTAAGATGAAGACAAATGTTTATGGTCGGATTTGTTCACAACAATTTACATGTCAAGACTCTTTCTGTTGGAGCAAACCATGTGTGTTATTTGTGAAAAGATAAAGTTATAGGTAAATCCCAACTCTTTCGGGGAATCGAAACACATTTAAGTAATGCTTTAAATTTATAAAAGAGCAAAAAAATCTTCTAAATGTAAAATAATTGCATTTTTTGTCAGCCTTATGAGTAGATAGAGATGCAGAGTAAAATGAGTAAAACGACACATTGCACTGCGTCGTTTGCGTATTACTACAATTGACCGAGTTGATATCGAACGTCAAACCAGTAAGCTTTTTGTTCAGCCCAACATGGCAACAGTTGTATTGGAAAAAAAACTGCTGGATGATGTGGGAGGAGTTACTGAGGAGCTGTGCGGCCCGTGGCCCCTGAGAAGAAAGGCCTCAGCTATTTTTGTCTGAAGCAGAACCACATTTTTGGTTCCCTGGCAATCTTAAAGAATAATACAAAATGTCTCTTGTTCTTGGTTCTAGAACAGTTCTTCTGTAAGTTTTCACATGCGTGTATTTTGGGCCTATACGTCACAACCCTAAATCCATTCAATTAATTTCAATGTATTATATTCCTAAATCTTGTAGCACTTCACAAAGCTGTCGATTCGCCAAAACAGATCAGAGAATCAAACAGTTCAAACACAGGAAATACAATGATAAAAAACACATAGAGCCATTGGTCCATAAGAGACAGAGACCTACGACCATAAATGTTAATACAAGTGTTTAATGTCCCCTCATCAGCAAGGAACAACTTATTTTTCTGTCAGGTTTTTCAGACAGAAAAGTGAAAAAGAGAGGACCAGCCTCTCCCAGCTCTCTCTGCATAAAGAGTCAAAAAGTGACTCACAGGGCTATAAGTTATGTGCCCCAGCTTTAATACAAGTTTCAGAGCAATTGTGGTCGAGCGCGCGCTGCAGATTTTGGAGCGGTTTTCTTTCGAGTAAACGTCCCCAAATGCACAGCGAGGCCGGCGCTTGTGTGTCACACCCGAAAAAAAAAAAAAAGAGAGAGAGAGAGAGAGAGAGAGGGCGCGCATCCGGTGCGGGACTGTGCGCTCCGTGCCACAAAGTGCACTTCACCACAGCCTGACGCACAGCTCTCCAAAGCAAGCCAACCGTGCGTAAAAGTGCGCCAAGACCTCTTCAAAACAGCGACTCAATGCGCAACGATGGACAGCACCATAAAGGTAAGGTCTGTCAGCTTCTGTGTGTGTTCATGCGTGTGTGTGTGTGCACTTGTGTGTATGCATGTGTGTAGGTGTGTGCGTGTATGTGTGTGTGCGCGTGCGTGGGCCGTCTTTCCTTCTTGTACCAAATTTCCCCTTCCTTCCCGTTAGTGGTATAATAAGCCTGCAAACCGCTTCATACTTACACTCGCTTTTATCACGCGATTAAGGCAAGTTTGGACACATGCGCGCGCACAAATGTGTTTCTCCATTGGTTCCCCACGACTCTCGCACCTGAATGAGCCCCAGTCTCCTACGCGGAGGCCTTGAACCAGAACCCGGCCTACAGTCCGCTCAGCCAGAGGGTGATACGCGTATAATGTTGGACCAGTTTGCAGCCGCTGTTGTCTGCGAGGAAGTTGATTCAAACAGGTAAAAAAAATAAATACAGAATACATTTTATTTTATATCATGTGTTATCTCCCAAAACAGTTCTTGTATTAAACATATAGGCCTTCGATTTGATTTGTTCGATCTATTTAAAATGCAAGCCTAAAAAGCTATTGTACTGAGGTGAGGTGAGATATTGTTGATCCTGAAAATTTGGAAATAAATCCTAAAACAGCTGCGTAAAGACTCGGTAAAAAAAATATATATATTGTGAAAGATTACAGCCAAAGAAGCTACATTTCTATGGAAACGAGCAACAATGTCCTTCCTATACAGCCAAGTCTGTGCAAATACAATCCTCGCTCTCAGTACAGTGTCGGCCTAAATTAAAATCCTAAAAATTCAATCCCAGATACAGAATAAGAACAGTTTGATTGTGTGCGCTGCTGGTTATAGTTCAAACAGTAAAAAGAGCTAAAGTAATGCATGAATGTCTGCCGTTTTGTTTGGAAATAGGCCGATATCAAATGATGAGGTCCGTTTAACATATTGAGCTAAATGTATTTTAAGAAAACCAAAATGGCGGCGGTCGTTGCCATAGGAGAAGGCCCTGCGCGCGGGCCTCGGTTTGTTAATAATAAAACTAATACATTTCTACAGCTTTAATGTGACTTTTTTTCCATAACGTCCACGACAGACTGTTTCTCAACGGGACAGAGTCAGAGCGGTTTGTGCTGATGTTGCACAATACTGAACACGCAATAACCCGCCGCGGCCTTTGAGGAACTGCTGTTTTGAAACTTAGTCTCTGAAATGTGTCTGAATATTTTGTTTACTATTCGGACCTAAGTTGATAAAATTAGCAGTGAGTTTTTAGATTATCCTTCATTAATTACCAGCTATTTAAGAGCCAAAAAGTGTATCATGTATATTGAGATTTGTGTGTATACATTTAAATCACATGTGAGGACTTAAAAAAAACTGTCGATTCACCAGCAGCAGATCAGAAAATCAAACACAGGAAATGCTTTAATAACAAACACATATAGGAGCCATTGGGGGAGGGGCGATCATTGTGCAGACATTTTAATAAAGGTCTATATAAATGTCTAATAATTGATAACACTTTAGTTTAGCCCTCACTAATTAACAACTACGTGCTAATTAGTGTATATTTGATGGTTAAATAGCTCTTAATTGGTATTTATTTAGCACTTGTTAGTCCTTATTCTACATGGCCTAATTCACCAAAAGGTTCACTTATTAGCACTTTATTAACTGTGAGGGTGAGGGCTATTCTAAAGTTTTTCTAATATTATATAAGTTCATCAAAAAATTGCTATACTGGAGTTTCTATTGTTAATGATTGTTTTGGCAATGATTTATGAAACCGCCGTTTCATACCACAAAACTTGGTCATCAGTTGTCATAGTAACCTGCCGCTTCACACATCAGCACATAAGACTCTGCCAAGAATGACATTTGTTGCTACTGTACAATAGAATAAAATGTGGTTTGGTGCTAAGACCCCGGCAGAGCAAGACATGAGAAATGCAAAAGATAAAAAACCTAAGAGAAGGGTGAAAGAGCTGGTCCTGATCCTCCTGCAGGTGGTGGTCCTCTCTGGTCCTCCTGCAGGTGCTGGTCCGCTCTGGTCCTCCTGCAGGTGCTGGTCCGCTCTGATCCTCCTGCAGGTGCTGGTCCTCCTGATCCTCCTGCAGTTGCTGGTCCTGATCCTCCTGCAGGTGCTGGTCCTGATCCTCCTTCAGGTGCTGGTCCTCTCTGGTCCTCCTGCAGGTGCTGGTCCTGATCCTCCTGCAGGTGCTGGTCCTGATCCTCCTGCAGGAGGTGGGTCCACAGGAGGACAGCTTCTCTTTGTGGCCTAGATATTATAGTATTTTTAAACAACAAAGTTCATGATACAAGCACCACATATTTGTTTAAACAGTCAGATCCAAACTGAGGCCTCGCTGCAACGATCAGAACCTCTAGAATCTACTTGTTTGTTATATTAGTGTAGACTGACATTTGTTTTGGATTTTGTCATAACATTCCATATATGGCTCTAATGTAGAGTGGGGCACACCCCCAAGTTCTCCCGCTTGAAAAGTTAAGAGACGTTGTAAATGTTTTAAAAGATTATGTTAAATAAGTATTTAGCAGTGGGGGAGGGTCCCGGCTCAAAAGTGGCCAAAATGACGTGCGCTGACATGCTGCAATACCACCCCGGGCCGATGGGGGTGGACCCGGAATAAGAATTAGCCAATGCTAACATATAGCATTGACAGACCTCTCAAAAACACCTTTACAGGATGGACCAAAAGTTGGCTCTTGGCCCAAAGCTCCGTTCCACATGTGTGTCAATGCTGAGGGGAGAGAATTGTTTTGGACCAGTCTAGTTTACTCGCTGTGAATTTTTGAAGTCACTCGTTTAAATGAATGGGGCTCGTGCCGACTGACGCATGCGCAGATGTGTTTTTTCACATTTTCCAGCCCCCGCGGCCATTTTGAATCACTCCAAGAAAGCCCGATTTTTGGCCCATTAGTTGAAACGATGGAGATGGGCGTGACTATGTCCGTTAATAAATACAGTCTGTGGTATTTAGTCAATAACGAAAGTTCATTCCAGTACCCTCCGATACTGGTAATGACAGATCAAACATGTTATGTAAGTCCTCCCGAGGTTTTCAATGTGGGAAAATCTTGGGAAGACTCCTGGAGCCGTGTTGCCGATCCTCCAGGAGACATCTGCAGGAAGAATTGCATTGCAATTGAATTTTTTTATTGACTAATTACTTTTTTGGATATGACATTGTTGAGGCAAAACTGTGATGAAAAATATGGTCTCATCGTAGTAACACTAGAACTCCCAGAGCAGTCTATTTGACTGCTTTTAGAGCCGCTTTTCTCAAGGTGCTGGTCCTGTTCTGGTCCTGGTCTGGTGCTGGTCTGGTGCTGGTCTGGTGCCCGACTGGTCTTGGTGCTGAGTCGAGTCAGTGCTAGCTTACGCTAGTTACCATAGCAACACAGTGTTTACTTGTAGCAGTTAGCATTTAGCTTTTCAACAAACCCTTTTTTCTGTTTTTCAAGTTTCATTCCCATCTTTTAGCACTGAGTTCAAGTGAGGACAGTTATAAAACTTATAAATTACTTACTTTTAATCAAAACGATGACGGCTCTGGGAGTTCCAGTAGTGTCAGAATCCTGGGAGTGTTGAGTGGGACGACTTGCTCTATTGGTGGCTGACTAAATACTTGTTTTTACTTCACTTTAATCATGATCCATGTGTCACTTTCTGAGAAAAACAAATGAAAGCAAAAGTAGCTGAATCCTAAATAGTGGTGAATATTGTGGTGGACATTCTGTTTCCTCCACAGATCAAATCCTTGTGTGTGTTTTTTTAACTATTAAGGACAGTGATGATTAATGTACGTTAGTCTTCTGCCACTTTTTTTATTATTGTATTCCTGAACAATTTCAACGGAACTACTGCTGTGATTTAGGGCGATACAAAAATACACTTAAATTGAATTGAAATGGTGTAGATCCTTGTGTGTGTGTAGTGTGTAGATCCTTGTGTGTGTGTGTAGTGTGTAGATCCTTGTGTGTGTGTGTAGTGTGTAGATCCTTGTGTGTGTGTGTAGTGTGTAGATCCTTGTGTGTGTGTAGTGTGTAGATCCTTGTGTGTGTGTGTAGTGTGTAGATCCTTGTGTGTGTGTAGTGTGTAGATACTTGTGTGTGTGTAGTGTGTAGATCCTTGTGTGTGTGTGTAGTTTGTAGAGCCATGTGTGTGTAGTGTATAGATCCTTGTGTGTGTGTGTAGTGTATAGTGTGTAGATCCTTGTGTGTGTGTAGTGTGTAGATCCTTGTGTGTTTGTGTGTGTGTAGATCCTTGTGTGTGTGTGTGTTTTGTGTGTAGATCCTGTGTGTGTGTGTGTGTGTAGTGTGTAGATCCTTGTGTGTGAGTGTAGTGTATAGTGTGTGAATCCTAGTGTGTGTGTGTTGTGTGAAAATCCTTGTGTGTGTGTGTGTGTGTAGTGTGTAGATCCTTGTGTGTGTGTGTGTTTCGTGTGTAGGTCCTTGTGTGTGTGTTTCGTGTGTAGATCCTTGTGTGTGTGTGTAGTGTGTAGGTCCTTGTGTGTGTGTGTGTAGTGTGTAGGTCCTTGTGTGTGTGTGTGTAGTGTGTAGATCCTTGTGTGTGTGTGTAGTGTGTAGATCCTTGTGTGTGTGTAGTGTGTAGGTCATTGTGTGTGTGTGTGTGTAGTGTGTAGGTCCTTGTGTGTGTGTGTGTAGTGTGTAGGTCCTTGTGTGTGTGTGTGTAGTGTGTAGGTCCTTGTGTGTGTGTGTAGTGTGTAGGTCCTTGTGTGTGTGTGTGTAGTGTGTAGGTCCTTGTGTGTGTGTGTGTAGTGTGTAGGTCCTTGTGTGTGTGTGTAGTGTGTAGGTCCTTGTGTGTGTGTGTAGGTCCTGGAGCCTCTGGTTATTCTGAGCCTGCAGTGTGTGAGCGCCGGTCAGGTGGCGGTTATCGGTGCTCAGCACACTTCCGTTCTGAGAGAGAGCGTTTCCGCAGCCGCAGCACAAAAGCAAAAAAGCAGAGCAGAGGCCACGATTACAGAAGTTTCTGTACAACACAC